AAATTGAGATTTATACAACATCTGAAAGCTGAACAAATAAGCTTTCCATTGATGTATGGTTTGTTAGGATAGGACAATATTTGGCCGAGATACAACTATTTGAAAATCTGGAATCTGAGGGTGCAAAAAATCAAAATATTGAGAAAATCGCCTTTAAAGTTGTTCAAATTAAGTTCTTAGCAATGCATATTACTAATCAAAAATTAAGTTTTAATATATTTACAGTAGGAAATTTACAAAATATCTTCATGGAACATGATCTTTACTTAATATCCTAATGATTTTTGGCATAAAAGAAAAATCAATAATTTTGACCCATACAATGTATTTTTGGCTATTGCTACAAATATACCCCAGCGACATAAGACTGGTTTTGTGGTCCAGGGTCACATTTTGTTTGATTTTATACAGCTTTTGTAAATAGAATCACCTTTAATTTGTGTGAATATTTATACAAATTATTTATGTATTTTTATCAACAAAACATGTTTTTTTTATTTTATCATTGAGGATGGTTCCATGTGGTTTACTAACCATGGTAAATTGTACCACATAATCTTGTGTCGATTTATTGAGGGACTGGTCGTGGTGCAAGATCCTCAAAGGTTCAAGACTTTGTCATTTTCATAAACAATCTCGCCTTTGATTATGACATATCTGATGAGCTCCTGATGGCCCCCGAACTGGTAGACCAGATGTTCCCACCTGCAACAGAGGGAACAATCTCAAATTCTAACAACCTCCTTATCAAGTCCCATCAAGCACCAGTTATAATCCAAACCTGTTTATCTGAATCTTAATAACTGATTTTATGGTGTTATTTTATCATCATTGATATACTATTATAGTTTTGTTAATATTTTTTATTAGATTTTATTTTTATATCTTCTGTTTTCACTCATTTTAATTATTTTGTTGTGTTTTTGTCGTTTTGTTTTTTAATACGTCAAGAGTTTATTAATTTTTATTTATTCGTTTTAAGTTAAATTAATTTTAGATATTTTAGTACTTAGTTGAACTAAACAAAACTGAGAAATGTTGATTTGGCCACAAGCTGAAATAAAATATGTTTTTTTATGTTTAACTGTATTTCAGTTAATGTTTATTTTATTTCAAATAACATTTTATATTTTAGTTTTAATTAACTATAATAACCCTGTTTTGTATATTGAACTATTTTTATGCCTTATTCCAACAACTTGTGAACATAACTACAGGTGCATCTCAATAAATTAGAATGTCGTGGAAAAGTTAATTTATTTCAGTAATTCAACTCAAATTGTGAAACTCGTGTATTAAATAAATTCAATGCACACAGACTGAAGTAGTTTAAGTCTTTTGTTCTTTTAATTGTGATGATTTTGGCTCACATTTAACAAAAACCCACCAACTCACTATCTCAACAAATTAGAATACTCCATAAGACCAATAAAAAAAAACATTTTTAATGAATTGTTGGCCTTCTGGAAAGTATGCTCATTTACTGTACATGTACTCAATAACTTGGTAGGGTCTCCTTCTGCTTTAATTACTGCCTCAATTCGGCGTAGCATGGAGGTGATCAGTTTGTGGCACTGCTGAGGTGGTATGGAAGCCCAGGTTTCTTTGACAGTGGCCTTCAGCTCATCTGCATTTTTTGGTCTCTTGTTTCTCATTTTCCTCTTGACAATACCCCATAGATTCTCTATGGGGTTCAGGTCTGGTGAGTTTGCTGGCCAGTCAAGCACACCAACACCATGGTCATTATGAACTTTTCCACGACATTTTAATTTATTGAGATGCACCTGTATTCAGCAGTTGCCCTCGAAGATCCCTAGGTACTGTATGGATATGATCTAACCGTGGTGCATTGATGATCACAAGGTCTCCCTGTTTCCCAATTTCAAGTGACCCATGCATATGTGAACAGTTGAGAGCGTAGGCTGCATTTATAGTACTTGCAGCCAAAGCTTCTGGCATAGACATCTTCATCAGCACACCGGCCAAGTGCATCACCATAGGCTAATAAACAAACAATGAAATGGAGTGGTCAGGTCAAATTTCTACTGATAACTTTTGTTCAGAAAAGTTTTGAGTCTTATGGTCACCATTGAGCAGCAGTAGACATTGGGGTTGAAGTCACTGCCAAGAGCCACTATTACTCCTGTATCAAGCATATCTCTTGCACGTGGTGGAGAAAGCCTTCCACAGACACAAGGAGAATCAAATCCCTATTTTATGGAAAAGACAAGACACGGTCAGTCTGAGGGGTGAGCACATTATCATTGTGGCTATTTACCGTAATATATAGGCAGTGGTGGGCAGGAGGACCGCTGATGTTTTAGCTTTTGCCATCGCAGCAATTCCATCATTTGTCATTTCTTCTAAATGGCTGATGGCTAAAGCACCAAGTTCTGCCCCAAGCTATTAGACTGGAGGACAAAGAGGAGACACAGATGGTTTAAGAACAACACCATTTGAACGTTCAAGCATGTGTGTGCAAGAAAGTATGTGAGTATGCATGCATACATGTGCCGAGTTCATGGGATGGAGTTCATCGCCATGAAAGTTGATGTTGAGGCCCATATCTTTGCCAGCTTGGAGTATGCAACGTGTTGAGTTCAGATCAAACACACCTTTCTCACAAAATACATCAATGTTGTCCACCTGCAGTTCACCTGAAGCAATTTGCGTTTTTATCTTGGGCAACTGCACTGCCACAATGTTCTGAGTGGCTTCCTCCATAGTTTTACCTCTGAGTGGAGAAAGAAAATGGATGTTACACAAATTAAGAGTTGTTTACTGTTTAAAGGTTTGGGGTTGGTAAGATTTGTTCATGTTTTTGAAAAAAGTATCTTATGCTCACCAAGGCTGCATTTATTTAATCATAAATACAGCAAAAACAGTAATAGTGTGAAATATTATTACGATTTAAAACAACTGTTTCCTATTTTAATATTTAATTTATTTCTGTGAGGCAAAGCTGGATTTTCAGCATCATTACTCCAGTCTTCAGTGTCACATGATCCTTCAGAATCATGATTCTAATTTGATGATTTGGCAGTAGAATCAATTTTAGGACTGTAAAAAATATGTATAAACTACATCTACATATTTTGTATTAAAAAACCCCAGCTTAGACCAGCTTTGCATATGGTAAAATCTTTTTGTAAAGACTATGTACTTGGGCACTGCGTGGGCTCCGTAGTATGTTGCTGATATCCCGATTGGCAGTGAGTTTGTGGCTGAATTGGTCACCCTCAGCATCTTGAGTTCAGTGTCCAGCTCAAGCCCATATCCACTCTTACACTCCACCAGCGTGGTTCCAGCTCTCATCATGCGCTCCAGACGGCGCTTTAAACCATCTAATAGTTGTCGTTCGGTTGCTGAGCGAGAATGTGACACTGTGAAATGGATTCCACCTCCTGCTTCCTGCACTTCCATATATGTGGCACCGGCCAGCTGTACACACAACAGGGCACAATGATAATGCTTCATCACATGTATTAAGATGCTTTGATGTTAAGATACTCATTCAGATAACTTCTCTGACACCAAGACTTAAAGATATATTCATTCAATTAAAAAAATGCAAGAGGAGAGATAGATGGACTTAAATGAGAGCAAAACCTTCATGGCAAATTTGTGCACTCTGTCTCTGTCTCATACTGGATGTGTGTGTGCATCAACCAGACCTGAAGCATGTTAAGATTCTTTCAGCTTTTTATTTATTTAAAAAAAAAAAGGAATTGTCAACAGAAATGGTCAAACTTTTTATTTTGGGTGGTAGATGTAACACTTACAGGGAGAACACACATGCCAGATGCATCCAGAACACTGTCAAACTTTGCTCCTTTGAACTGAGACTCAATGATGTCTGCAGGTCCAACAGCTTTTATTAGTCCATCACTACACACAAACACACGGCTAAATGACATACTATATACTTATATTTATTTTTTTCTTTGAGGACGTCCCCAAGAGAGATTTTTCTCATTTCTTTGGACAATTTTGTCCCCATATACAGTTACTACAAAAACTGTATTCTATCCTAAACATAAACTTACTATAAGAAATGGCTTATTGTTTACAAAGATACAATAAATGTGACATATAAGATATGCTAACGAAAAATGAACGTTTGCCAAATGTTTATTTACATGCTGAATTCATCACACAATGAATAAGTGAAGACTTACTGTCCAATCAGCACACTGCCATTCTCAATGACAGCCAGCGTCTGCATCCCATCTCTGGTAAGATACTTTTCACCATTTCTACAAACTAAGACCACTTGTGTTGCACTCTTGACAAAAAGTCTGAAACTGCTTGCAGACATTGTTAGGTTAACTGTGATGCAAGTGATTCAGAGCAGAGCTCAGGGATAAAAATAAAAAAGTGGGTAAATATTAAGCGAAGCCAAAATTGGGTAACTTGGACGAAGGTCGGAAGGGAACTGAATAACCAACGGTCAGTGAGGGAGGAGCTCATCTTTAGATTCAGCCGATTTAGAAACAAATGTTATCTTCGTTGTGTTTCTTACTGCACAGCTTACTTCTTTCAAATGATAATTGTGTAAATTACATAATACAGCAAAAATAATAGTAATAAAAAACTTATTTTACTAGTATTAGTTTCGCCTCACTTCATCACACACAAAAAATGTAACCTTTGTTTTCAAACCACGCATAAAGCATTGCACTAGTTAGGTTTGAACACGTCCTAAAACCTTCATAATACGCAAAATAAGAGTAAGAAATGTTTCTCCTTCTCTTGTCTGTGTAATTTCCCAGAACAAATCGGTCTAAAACCGAATGTATTAGTTTATTTAAAATAGCAGGAGTGACTACTGGGGAACAGAATATGATTTTACATCCTCGGAAAGATTAATACCAAACTGTATTGAGATAAAATTACATAATACTGCACTTATGAATTGTTGCATTAAGTAAATAGGGTCCATTTTAATTTCATGTGGACTTTAAATATTACAGCCAGCCAAAGAAATGACAACAAAAACATACAAACAGCACAATTTATTTGTCATTGTGCCACCAATAACTTTTACAGTGTAAAAAATAACTAACAATTTTACAAGGAAAAGAGACATAAAACTGAGACAAACTGCAAAATAACCAGTAAATCATCCAATTCGATTAGAAACAGAAATCAAGTCACTCTTCATTCTCTCATCTCGCCGTCTTCTTCCTCTTCTTCTACTCCTCTTATGTACAAAACATTATTACACCTTCAGAAAAAGGAAACAAAATCATTATTATTTAAAACTAAGAATGCATTTTCTGATATTACAGAGTTGTAAATTGAGTTTCATTTGAAAACCTTACCTGACGAGCACCTCACCAAGATGACCCGCTAACGCTCCATCCACATATTCTTCTGTGTTGGCCAGCTAGATATAATCAGAGAAACAGAGCTCAATTAACCCATATGGACTACTGACAATGTTCTGCTTAACCTATAGCAATCAATATAAACATAGATGTAAGCATGGATTTAAATGTAACTGGATATCATGCATGTTGTGACCCGCTACTTTGCTATGGATATCGTATGTAGCTGACCAAAACACCAGCATCAATGACTGATAGATTTATAAACGTGAATTATAATCAGACATGCCTGCATGTTCATGTAGCTATCCACCGACACCAGGTAGCCTTTGTACTCCATACCCCACTTCAGCTTCACCATCACAGGCTTTCCCGTGAGGCCGTTCAGAAAGGGCTTGGGGTTCAGCGGCAAACTCTGCAGAAAAGGGAAGGAGTGATGTACTGGCATTTGGTGAAATAAAACTTGTAAATGGATATTGCCTCAAGGTGTTTTAACTGACATCCCATTGTGATGCTCCCCCTACGAATAAGCAGTACCCTAAGAGTCTCTTACATGGCTGACAGGATGGATTAGATATGCCAAGGGATTCTTTACCAGGTCTATTGCCTGAAAGGAGGTAGATAGATAGATAGATAGATAGATAGATAGACAGAATCTATTAATTTACTGTGTGTACCTTCAGCACAAAATAAACTCTTTGTAGATGAGTTATATGAATTGTTCCAGTGATGTGTTGGGTACTTTGTAAATGAATCAAAGCTTAGCAAAGCTGCCTGAAAGCCCACACAGCGGATTAGAATGGAAATCTTTTGCAGTTCCGCATTCCAGACAAGTACTTTTTCAATATTTCAGAAAGTGACCGGTCTTTTATCCTTTACTACCTTCCTGTTGACCAATCTCGGCCTTCATCAAATCAGTATAGGCTACACTCTCTTTTCCTGTCAGTTGATTTCACAAGATTTAAATCTCGAAATGCTTTGATATTTTAGTTACAGTAGGAATTTCATCATAATTTGGAACCAGTTCTAATGAGATCAAACAAGCCTCATCCAAGAATCTTCTGACTATCAAATAAGATCTTGATAAATAAAACTGATAAACAGAACAATGTGAAAGTGTCATATAGAAAGCATAATGAAACAGTGTCGTTTATGACATCAGAATGCTGAATGAAACTGTGTCACAGTGCTCGAAATTACAGAATGCAAAATTACATTATGCTAATAATTATAACATTTGAATGATCTTTTAAATTATAACCTTACTGTTTACTCTACATTGCTTTGTTAAATGACAGATTGCCTTATTAGAGTATATAAAACATTATATTTAACATTGCCTGTATATTTGTCATTTTCAGGCATTTTCAATGTATTTTTTTACCTACCCACTTAAAAAAAAGGTTCTTTATTGGCATTGATGGTTTCATGTGGAATTTTTCCGTTCTATGTTCTTTATAGAGGAAAAAAATGTTTTTTGTGCTCTTCAGAATGTTCTTCACACTTAATAAAAAATTATTCTTTTAAAGAACTGTTCACTGAAAGGTTATTGGGGGAACCAAAATGGTTATTCTAAAACATCGCTTTATTTGTATAAACTATTATACATAAATCATTATATGGGGCATTAAGACAAACTTCCATGTAATAATAACTGAATATAAAATTTGTGAAAATAATGATCAAAGATAACATAAGTAGAGGAATTCATATGTTAAGAAAATGTAAAAGAAAAATGGCTCCTGAAGAGATTAAATGTGTTACATTTGGATAGAGTGTACACAGTCTATAGTTAGCCTAATTAATATAAGTCGATAGAAAATGTCCATTTAGATAGCTAGACTAGGTAAACATGTTTTCTAAAGTGAGAGAGGTGCAAAGAGAGAGAGCACATCCTGCAAGATCTGACGTTGAATGACTCAGACGACTCATGCCAGGAATGCTCCATTAAAACGAGAAAAATGCTGGGAGAAGGGGCGTGGCCTCTGTTCTTCAAAGGTCCTGTCACTCAGGGGCACCAGATTCCAGCTCAGGTGTTACAGAGCAGCACGCGCAGCCCCACGAGTCGCGCTCAGAGCAAAACACACGCACAACTCACTTCTACGCGAGCAGCGCGGCCGGACAGTTGTCACCGGGGACAGAAGTGCCTCTGATAGACGCGTATTTGAGGTTACACACCGATGGCGTTGTCGCGCGAGAGTTGTGTCCTATTTCAGGTGAATAGTTTCTGTTTGTTATGGGAGCAGATCACCTCCGCTCAGCGTTTGCGCACCTGGCCAACCCACGCCAATGAAGTCGTGCTCCTACATGCAATCTGAAAGGCTCTGGAGTGGAATCGGGTTCCCGTGCGTACTGTGGATTAAACCCCCTCGCGGGGTTCGATACGTGTAATTTGTGGCTTTTCTCTTGGACTGATGACTAATATGGAGCTGCCAGGGAGATGTGTGTTATTCGCAGCGCTCGTGATGAGCGTTCCTCACCCCGTGTCTTCAGGTCAGTGTTTTACGCATGCAAACTATTCACCCGCACGTGCGATCAAAACAGGTTAGCTGGTTGTCAACCAAACAGAGAGGCAAGGCGTCTGACGAACGGGTTGATATGGAGAGAAAGAGACGGGCATGATTTGAATATGCAAAACAAAAACAAACTTTTCATTAGCATACACACCCAACACCCAGATGTTGCTGAATCCAGCCCATATGCATTCAGCAGATTGATTCTACAATTGAAGAGTTCAGATGCAAAAGCATCTAAGTGCCATCTGAAATTTTCACCTAAAATTAGCATTTTTGTCAGGCTCCTGTGCTTAGGTTCAGTAATTTTACTTTATTGGCAATGTATAGGTACTTTTCTATGCTATTAAAGTGAAATAACAACATAAATATAGGAGCCTCATAAAAATGCTCACTTTACAGTTTACAGTTTGTCACTTAAAATGTATGAATTAAATTGCATTATTTGATTTAACTAATAAAGAAGTGATCTGCAAATAAATGATGCTAAATCCTCAGAATCTCGGAACTACTGTTTTTGCAGTTACTTTTTTTCCCCCCAAAAATGCTTTTTAGGACAACTGTATCTTCTAGTCATCAGTTGGAATGTGGGTAATTTAACGTTACCTTTTTTTGTACATTCAGGCAGTATGTTTGTGTAATGTACTGTATTTTATAAGTGTGTTTTTTTTTTAATGTGTACCAGGATGTGAGAATCGGGTGTGTAATCCACGCATGGGGAACCTGGCAGTCGGGCGTCCTGTACAGACAATTTCCCAGTGTGGCTCTGCCTCTCCAGAACATTACTGTAGCCCTGTCTACAAAATGAATAGATGTGTGTTGCATTGTGAGGTGTGTGATGCTTCAGTAATGCACCGTGCACATCCACCTGCGTCCATGACAGACTCACCCTTCAAACACCCACCGACCTGGTGGCAGTCCGCTCATGGTGTTTCCATAGAAACTCTACAGCTGGATTTGGAGGTGGAATTTTACTTCACCCACCTCATTATCATATTTCGGTCACCACGCCCTGCTGCCATGGCGATAGAGCACTCGCAGGACTTTGGGCGCACATGGAGCGCTCTGATGCTGTATGCCCACAACTGCAGTGAAGTGTTCAGCCTGGAGGATGGACAGAGCTGCTCTCAGAAATACTCCACAGCAGAGCCTTGCAGCAATGGAGAGGTGAGAGTGTGCGTACAGAATCTCACATTTCAGAGGAGGTGCATTTGTGAGATGCATTTTTGGGTGGGTGATGATGATGATCTTAAAGGATTAGTTTACCCAAAAATGAAAATTTGCTCAAAGGCCTCGGGCCATCCAAGATGTAGATGAGTTTGTTTCATCATCAGAAAAGATTGAGAAATTTAGTATTACATCACTTGCTACCAGTGAATCCTCTGCCGTGAATGGCTGCCGTCAGAATGAGAGTCCAAACAGCTGATAAAAAACATCAAAATAATCCACAAGTAATACATATTTGTTTAGAACTATTTTGGTCTTGATCTGAGCATATTTCTCTCCTGATTCAGACGGGATGACTTTTTCACCGGAGAAAACAATATTATGGATATACCCGTATTTTGGCCAGAAGCGACAGTTAAATTACTTTAAAAAATTTCTTACAAACATGCAGCTTTTCACTTAAAAATGGATTGACTGGGATTGTGAGGAATATGCTTTTTTTCGTTACTTTTGGAATTTGTTTTTAATTATCAGCTGTTTGGACTCTCATTCTGACGGCACCCATTCACTGCAGAGGATCCAGCGGTGAGCAAGTGATGTAATGCTAAATTTCTCCAAATCTGTTCAGATGAAGAAATATACTTGTCTACATGTTGGATGGCCTGAGAGTGAGTAAATTTTCATTTTTGGGTAAACTAGAAAAACATTTAAATGAAATTATTCATGACTTTTCAAAAGAAAATTTGTTAACCTGACTGCATTAAGTTGCACACATTTTTAGCCTTTTTTATAGTGTTCAATTCGCAGTCCTAATAACTAGTACTTAGATTTTTTTTTAAATGAAAACGGTTAGCTCATTGCTAAGTAAATTAATGTTTGTTTGTTTATTTATTTATTTCTGTGTGTGAGCAGGTCATTTACCGTGCTCTGTCACCCTGGGACAAACTGGATCCGTACAGCATTGATGCCCGAGCCCACCTCGGCATCACTAACATACGGATACGTCTGCTTCAGCCGCAGTCCTGCTTCTGTCAACCAAAACTTCCTGATGCCAATGTGCTCACTGCACACTATGCCATCTATGACCTAATTTTAAAGGGAGGCTGTTTGTGCCATGGACATGCAGACCAGTGTTTGCCTGCTGGTGACCAACAGATCACACACCCTCCTGTTAAACACATGGTAAGTGTATAGTTGAAATACATAGTCATTATTTTTACATACTGTATGCTTACACATCATGGTATGAAACAAGATTTAGTTTATAAACTCTACATCATCTACATGGTGTTTCAAACCTGTCTTTTTTCCTGAACAAAAATATTTTGAAAAATAAAAAAAAAATAATAATATTTTTTTCCCCCCATACAGTGAAAGTCATTGGGGCCCAATGTAATTTTGGACCAGTGTTTAGTATTTATATACTATTTTAGTTTTTGTTAATATTTTGTATTAACTTTTTTTTTTTTTTTTTTTCATTTTAATTTAGTTAAAATTTTAGTAATTTTATGTGTATATATTATTTGTATTATGTTTATAGTATTTTTTTTAATGTCTAATTAGCTTTAATTAATTTTGTTTAATAATTTCAGAAATTCAGCTTCAACTTATTTTAAGTTAGTTGCCAAGACAGCATTTCTAATTCTCATTAAAGTTTAGGTTTTTCATCTATTATTTATCTTTTATTTTATTTCTGTTTTATTTAAATTAAAAACTTTATATGGGCAAAAACGATTTCTGCTGCAGGTTGAAATGACACGAGGGTAAC